ATCCCAGCACCCTCCTATAAAAATAAAGGATATATGAATGTCTTAAGATCCTGCTAACATGACAGCCTAAATGCTCAATCTCCCATTTTAATGCATATTTATTTACATTCTTACTAAAGCACGTTGTCTCAAAAAAAGAATCTTAGACAGTTTTATTAGATATGTTAATAAATTAATATTCATATACTTCTTTACTTTATCAGGTTGAGTTGACTAAACTTTTAATAATACTATCTTTGTTCAATTGAAGATAACACTTAAGTGAAAAGCAAAAATATTTCCAAAAAAGTTGTAATTTATTCTTTTCAAGATTTCAACAGTTAATATATAAATACAACACTTATGCAATGTTTGAGGTCATTATTATGTCAGAATATAACACTGTGCATATATGGAGAAATATATGGCATATATTGCTTTGAAAGAGGCTTACCATAAAAATAATTTTTATTTTCCATAAGCAAAGTATACAAACACACACACTCATACACATATGCATAAATATTCTAATTTTTGCTGTAACTTGTTACCTTATGAGTATTTTTATATAAAGCATAGGCAAATATTTCTTAATCATTCTGGAAAATATAGGAATAATATAAAATGTCCATTTCTTAACAGGAGACTATTCTCTTCAAGAAATCAAATGCAAAGGTACTCCTCTCACCATTGTACCCCTCTCCCAACTATTTAGAATCAAGATGAAAAAAGTGCTCTGTGTTTATAAGCAAAAGAGGTGGAAAAATCTGACCATTTTATAAGCTGTTGTTGAACAGGGATCTACAGTCCCCTTTGGCTAACCCATTCACTCATCTTTTTTATCATCAGAGTGTCATTTAGTAAATTACTGATTCCATGCATTGCCTGGTACTGTGAAAGGCTTGACATTCTTCTAATTTATTATCACATCCTGAATTTACACCCAAAAACTAAATTATTCTTTGGCACATCCTCCCATACAGAAATATTATTATTTACTATCTCCTGTATCATGGAAATTTCAAATATCCAAATTTACACATTTTTAAATTAGTTTTAATATCATCAAGCATGTGTTACCCAAATTTTTAGGATAATCATGGAGGGAAATGGATTGATTTTTAAATTATCTTAATATCATTGTTACATTTATATGCTAAGCATCCTCTAGGATTTTTAAATGAATATTAGTGAATATTAATAATGTCTACATGTAGTATAATTTATCATGTCTACCATTACTACTTAAAAACAAAACAATGCTGTCTAGAAGAAAATGAGTATAAATGACTAGGAAATGATTTCTCTATTAAAAATAATATAGTTTTAGTACAGTGCTATCAAAACTTATTAAAACTGTAATTTGAGGGCCTCCCCTAGTGGTGCAACTGTTGAGCACTTGCTGCGAAGCTGCCTGCAGCCTTTGCAGCTCCCGTTCGATCCCTGGCCGCCAGCAAGTGTCCCACATGGCTTGTAGACCTCTCCTGCCGCGCCCGCTGCTCCTCTCAGCAGTGTATTTCAGTCAGTCTGCCTGTTCTTTTCCCTGCTCTGGCTCTAGTGAATTTTCTCACCCTCCCACACTTCTGACTGTACCCAGTGCTTGTATAAATAAATAAATAAATCTTTAAAAAAAATTGTAATTTGAGGGTCTCCAGGTGGTGCAGGGGTTACAGTCTGATCACTACCAAGCTATCTCCAGCCACTGCAGCATGAGTTCCATCCCCATCCAGGGAGCAAACCCTCAGATGGCACAGCAGACCTCTCCTGACTCACCGCTGCTCCCCTCAGCAGTGTATTTCAGTAGATCCTCCTGTTCTGCATCCCCACTCTGTCTCTGGTGAGTCTTCTCACCCTGCGCATCCTCTAGCCTACACCCCAGTTCTTGTATTCATAAATTAAAAAATGTGATTTGAAGCAAAATGAAGAAAATGTTTCTTTCCCATTCAGAAAAAATTTTAGTTCCAGAAGGTAGGAGACATACATTATGTTCAGAATAACATATTTATTGACTATCTGATGGGTTAAAATTGTGCATCTGGAGCAGGTACAGAAGATGATACTGAAAGAAAAGGCTTCCTACAATGCATTGTTAGTAAGGCTGAACAACTGCTTGAATGCCAGTCTCAGCTGCACTTTACTTGTGTAACTTGCTGAGACTTGTTTTAATGATGCTTTGGAGGGTTCCAAAACTTAATTTTATATGTTAATGTGACATGCAGCCGTATATGTTATAGAACTCCTGAGATGCCAAGAGTCAAAAAATAACTCCTTTCTACTGCCCTCCAGACTCTCACCCTAGGTATTAAATGTTAAACACTCCTCAACAAGGTATTCCCAAATCATTTTTTAGAAGAGATCCACTGTCATATGAGGAATTTGCACGCAATTTAAATATGCATGAGGTTTATTTAATGATAAGAACTATTTGAGCACTCAAGTTTGAGAGCTTACTTTTTTTGAAGGTGGGAGAGTAAAAGGTGGAATGGATGTTTGTTTTTAATGTAAGCTATAAAAACTTGTATACTCTATAGATTTCTTTAGAATTCCTACAGCATATGTCAGTATTATTGAATAACAAAATCTCATGATGATTTCACATAATTATATTTAGAATATTGGTAAAAAAAAAGTGTCAGTAACTTCTATCTAAAGCATACACTTTAAAGATTGAAGGAATAATATGTATATACAAAAATTATGAACATTGGATTAAAATAGTTTAAAGGTCAGCTTGAAAAGATCAAATATAAATTTACTATGATTTTATGTAATTTTTTCTCCATTTCACAAAGGTTAGATGTTTCAAAATGTTTTTAAGACTCTTGAATGTATGCAAGCATTATAAATAAAATTTAAGTCACCAGATCAACTTTGTGTATTTTCCTTACTCAAGAATGCTATACGAACTTGAAACTATGCTTTACAAATTGACAGTTCTTTAACATGATAAAATGAATATATCGTATTTTTATAAAAATTGGCACAAAGATAGGTTGTATTACTAATTATTTTTTATAACATATGCAATTACACACTAGGAAATGAGGCTAAAATGGGTTTCACTTTTATATCAAAATATACAAAATTTAAGAATATGTCATCAAGGAACTATTTCTATCAATACATGTCTGATGGATACTTAATTTACATCACTTAATAGTTTTTAACCAACTTAACAAAAATATTTTGTCAGTCTGCCATTTGGTCTCATTTCTTTAAACTGAAATAAATGAAAACTTTGTTTTTTAATCAATAAGAGCTTATGAATAGTAAAATCTCTTTATTAGATGCTCACTAAAAATAATTTAAATATTTTCATTTTGGTTGGTTGTTTTAATGTCATGTGGCTAATCATGTACTGCATTAACTCAGTATTCATCAACATATTCCCTCTCTGAATACTTGTCATTGTGGAGATATCATTCGCTCATTCATTCATTCATCAGTGTGACAGATTTTTTTTAAGATTTATTTTATTTATACAAGAGTTGTGGTACAGGCCTGTGGCGCAGGAGGGTGAGAGGATTCACCATAGACAGGCAGACGGACTGAAAGCACTGCTGAGGGTAGCAGTGGGAGAGACAGGAGAGGGCTGCCAAGACATGTGGGTATCTCTCTGGCTGGCCAGGAATCGAACCCATGCTACAGAGGCTGCGGACAGCTTCACGGCGCTGTGCTCAACACACAGCGCCAAGAGGGAGGCCCAGTGTGACAGATATTTTAGTGTGAATTTTGAGTCAGGTGTTAGGACACTTCAGAAATTTTAGATTAGTGCTAGGTTTTGCCATTCAAAAATCAAACAAATAGTGAGTCAAAAATGACACTCAAATGACTATGTTGCATTTTAGAATGATACAGAAAGTTACTAGGTTGAGAGGAGGAAAGACTGCATTTAGTTGGAGTATCAGGACAAAAAAAAAGAATGTGAAAATGGAACTGAACTTTGAGCATTGGAAATTGTGAGGAAAAATATCCCAGGTAGAGGAAGCAATACATGCAAATGTTGGAAACATGGAGAAATATCTGGGCCATAGGAGGGTAAAATTTTAATATACTTGAAGATATGATAAAGAAGTGTGCTACATTAGGAATCAATGTTATTAACAGAAAAAGAAAGTGGCAAATGAAGATTGAAAAGAGAAAAAATATACTGATTTCTTTTTCATATCTATTGAATTTGAATGCCAGTAGAATACTATCACAAAATAACTATCATAAAATAACTCTATCAGAAATAAAAGTATAACTCACAGAAAAATTAAACCAGAGGGAAAAAGTTATTAACAAAACCGTGGAAATGGAGGAATTGAGAGGAGAGAACCAGAGAAGTTCATAGAGAACCTTTGGTAATGACCATACAAAAGAAGAGAGGAGCAAAAAACATCAGAAGGAAGTGGCTTGGGATTTCATTTATTATGTTTAGGGCTGAGTATTTCATTAGTGAACTTTTAGAAAGACAGATTTTTCTAAATAATAAAAAAATGCTGCAAAAAAAAATGGGGACTTGCAAATTAATATGTAGTTGAGAAAAGCAAGAGACTAGGATTTGTGGTGTGGAACTTAGGGAGTTGGAAGTTGTGGTTAATTTGATAGTGATGGAAGTAGAAAAACCAGTTCAAGTACTAAAGACATCAAAACAAGAAAGAGAGAGAGAGAGAGAGAGAGAGAGAGAGAGAGAGAGAGAGAGAGAGAGAAAGAGATGCTCAAAGGAAGAAATGATTAGAGACATACTGGTTAGTTCATCCTGAAAGGAAGCCTCCAAAGTAGTTTAAAAAAAAAAAAAAGGCAAAAGAGAGAGGGAACATAAAAATATCTGATGTATGTTGATATCTGACGATGTACTAAAAGTAAGAAACTGGTTGGGGAAATATAATTTATCCACAAAGAGCATTGGTGCTATTTCATACTGCCAGTGTGAAAACCAGTTTTTGTTACCATCATTTCAATTAGATTTCTTGCTTCTGGGCTTGATGTGATTCACCAACTTGAGATGTGGTTAATTGTAGCTTACTCTGTTCCAGGCGGTGTGGTTACAGCAAAGCAAAACAAGATCCAGAAGAGGAAAAGATGCATTTTCATAATGGGCACAGTAAGCAAATTATAAAAAAATCAAAACAAAAAAATAGAGGTGATTTTATTATTATTTTAGTTTCTTTCCAAGGTAGGAAACTTATAATAATGGACCAAAAAAAAATCTGTGTTGAAATTAAGTGTTCTGTCACATTTTTGTAAAGCATGTAGACTCAGTGCATTGTTGGCTGGTCCTAGGCAACATCTGGATATTTACTGAATTCTTTGAAGCATACTTCATTATAGTTATTAAAACTTTTGCTTAATGTTAAAATCTATCACTTGATAAGCCAAATTTCCAGATAATTTTGATGATTATAAGTACAGTCACTAGAACTCTATCATTAAGTAACACCACCCAATTGAAATCAGTATAATTCGCAGGTTTTTTCATCTTCTAGTATTTTAGCAGGAATTTCCCTGAGCAGATTCTACAGCAGCAACTTATGCCTTGAAAAAACTACTTTTAAGAAATGCAAAATATCAAGTATTAATAATGAAGTTTAAAAATCAGCCTAAATTGGTTCTAGTTATTGTATTTTAAATAGGACAGTGTGAGTTGATTTGCTAAGTAATGACAAGAAGAGTTTATTTCGGTTTGGTTTTTCTGCCAAGACCATAAAAGTGAAAATCATTAAAGCTATAATTCACACTGTAAAGCATGAGTCCATATTTATAGTCCTAACTTGTTTATTGTTATTTATCCTCAAAAACACTGTGAAAAGTGATGTTGGTTGTCTGCAGATGTGATGAAACTGAAGTTCATAAAACATTACAGACTTGGGTAAGGCCAAGTAATAACAGAAATATATGGAGAAGTAGAACTTCTCTTTTTCTTTCGATTTCTATGTCAGTCTCATTGGATCAAATCACCAGGAAAGTTATTTTAAAATATTTTCTGAAAAAACAAAATTAATCATCTATGAAGATATTTTAAGTGAAATATAAGATAACAGAGCAACAAATAGACCACTAACATTATATCATCTAATGTAGTGAACAAAAATGTTTTAATTTACCTCAGAGACTGACTGTGAATATTTTTGTTGGAAAATGTTGCCACATATATATTTCTTGTACATTCCAACAATTCAGCTTTCTGAAATTCTAAAAGTTGAAATAGTTGTACAAATGATTCCTGTAATTTGAGATGTGTCCTCAGTTAAGCACTTCCAGGAACCATGGATTTTAGACCTAGATGCATGTAAATAGAAGTTTATTATTTCCCTCGGCCTTTACAAGAACATCTATGCTAATGCCCATTTATTTTTACAGTTAAACTGCCAGGCGTAAGAACATACATTGATCCACATACCTATGAAGATCCCAATCAAGCTGTCCATGAATTTGCCAAGGAAATAGAAGCTTCATGCATCACAATTGAAAGAGTTATTGGAGCAGGTACAACAGCGTGTTGCACTTGTACTTTTTTTAAAAGATTTATTTATTTATGCATACAAGAGGCAGGGTGCAGGCCAAAGATGGGTGTGTGTGTGAGAGAGGATTCAAAAGAGACAGAGTGGGGGACAGGCAGATGTACTGAAATACACTGCTGAAGGGAGCAACGAGCCAGACAGAAGAGGTCTTGCTGTGCCATGTGGGTCACCTCCCTGGCTAGGGAATCGAACTCGTGCTGCAGTGGCTGTAGATAGCCTCACAGTGCGGCATCTCAACTCCTTGCACCACCAAGGAGGCCCCTGCACTAGTACTTTTAACCTGTTTTTATATTATAGAAAGTAGTATGTCAATGTCCTGATCTAACATATAATGTTTTCAATCTTCTGTAATTGACTTGCTTTCAAGGTGCCATATAATTGATCATAATTTAATGCTATGTTCTGTGTAGCTCATACTTAAACCAGCTAATGTCTGATTTATGATATTAAAAAAAATTAGCTATGAAATAAAAATTATATATATATTTAAGCATAGTGTTTTACCACCTGTATTTTAGTATATACCACATATATTCCATGTGTTATATATATAATTTGTAATGCTCAAAAACACTTACACAATTTAAGTACCAATTATTCTATTTATCAATCATCTCTTCCTTAATTTTTTCCTTTTTGTCATGCAATAACCCTTTCTTCTTTACTCATCTCTTTACAGCACTCCTAAAGAAAAGGGAAAGGATATGATTTTGAGTCAGCTGCTTTTAATTTCTATCATTTTCCATTAAGGTCTGCATCGGTCAGTTGGACAAAGCTAATGACCCTGAAAGTGTTTTATGATCACCTCTCTATAATTTTCCCCAATGAACCACTTAATTAAATTAACATAACAAAGTTTGGGCTCCCCTTTTATTTTAAGAGTTTTGTCTAAACCTTAATATTTTAAGAGTTCTTTAAAGTATTATTAAAGTAAGGGCTTCAGATGAATTTTTGTGTGTGTTTTTTTTTTTTCCTATCTTTATCACAAGGTGAATTTGGTGAAGTTTGTAGTGGACGTTTGAAACTTCCAGGAAAAAGAGAATTACCTGTGGCGATCAAAACCCTCAAAGTAGGCTACACTGAAAAGCAACGTAGAGATTTCCTGGGGGAGGCAAGCATCATGGGGCAGTTTGATCATCCCAACATCATTCATTTAGAAGGTGTTGTGACTAAAAGTAAGTACAAATATGTGTGTGTGTTGTGTGTACAGAGACATATCTAGATTTCTTCTATTAAGTTATTAATTTCAGAGGGAAAAAACTAACAATAGCAATACCATTAAAATAGTTCCAATAATAGCTGTCCTTTATAGCAATAGATTGTCAAAACTGATCTTCCTTGAACCTAAGTTTCTATTTACTTTTATTCAAGATATATATATTAATGCATCTACTAGGAATTCAATGACAGAGAAAATATATTCAGTTAAAGCAAGCAGTAAAAGTATCAGTATTTCTTTCTCCTGCCTTTTTCACTTTTTATCCTAATGAAATATTAACTTCAAAGTTTTCAAGAGGCATTGAAGTTTAACATTTAATAGGATTACTATATCCATAGGTGCCCAGCCACTTTTTAAGCAGTTCTCTTATAGCCAGATATATTACTTTTACTCATTTTTATACATTGAGGTATTTTAATAGTTCTAGGGAAAGCAATAGTCTCAAGATTGCCCACACCCTACTCCAGGTGCTGCCATCAGGCATGCATTCAGGACCGCAGATCCATTATCAATCCTAAAGGCAGGAGGGTAGAAAAGCCTGATACTTTTTCACTTACCCTACACCCATTTACATGTTTAGAAAAGGGGCAGAAAACTCTATTTATCATGGAAGATAGTATTTCAAACTGGCCAAAAACATGGCCTACATATCTAGTCACTAGTTGTAATTTTGGATCAGATAAAAGGTACTATGTGACTTTGCATAACTTAAATATATTCAGAACCTTAGTTTCATTATCAGTGACATGAGGGTAAAAACAACTCACAGTTATGTGAAGATGGCATGACTCACTATAGGTGAAATTAAGGTAGTTTTTACTTTTCTAGTTATCTCTCCTCCAGTGCTCTTGACACCCCCATATCCATTTCATCCTTAATCTATTTTAATATACCTGATATTTTGCCATTTCTTCATCATCTCTACCTCATATTTACTACCTTTTCAATCCTTGACAACCCTTACTCAATTTCCATCATCTCTATGAAATAATCCCTCATCACTTCACCTTAAATAATCTTTCTTTTTGAAACTGTGCCAATGTAAGTATTCTTGCAACAGTCTGTAATGTTCTTTCATTTGTCCAAAAATTCTGTTTAATTCTCTTCTACTTATATTTTTAACTCCCTAGTTAGGAAAAAAAAAGTCTGCTCTTTGGAAACACAGATCATGTTCTCAATATTTATATAAACCTATTGCTCTTACAGATAAGCCAATTTGTGGTTACCATAAACAATTTGAGCCTCATTGTCACACAAAAAGTGGGAAATTATATCTACCTTTTAAGATTGCTATACATATTACATTAAGGGGTCTGCATGTGAAGATGAAGGTAATTATAGTCTTAGGTATTTTTATCTGTTCAAATGAATTCATAGAATACTAATGGATAACACCCCAAAATTATGAGAATTAATATGCATCTATTTTTATAGTCTCTTCATTTATTAAAGAACTTATTTTATAGGGAAGGGCCATGAATGAAACAAACTAAAACAAACTTCTGACACTAAGTGAATTAAATTCATCAAATGTTGTATATGCATTAGAACGTTATTTCTAAAACTGTCATCAAATGGTTATATCTAAATTTTGTTATTCTAACCCAAAAATAATGCTGTAGTAGGGAATACAGTTTTTAAGTTTCTAATCCAACCATGTATTTCATTTTGATGTTACTGTTGTAAGACTACACATATAAGTAAAGCAAAATATGAATATTTAAAATATTTTGTTTTATTTTCTGTTCTATGTGAATTAAAACTTTATTTCCCCTTAATAAATATAGCTCTTGATGTTCAACTTAGGATGTCTGCAACTTGTTTTTAATTTACCATGTTGCAACTCACTTTATTTGTGTCCTTAATTTCATGCTCTCTGATCTGATGTTAATTTATTCAGCAATTATTTTCAACCTGCAGCACACAGATAATGAGACATAAGTGCAACTAAATCTTGTGATTTTTCTGATTGAGGCTGAGGCAGGGAGTCTGAAGTAGCATTCTTATGGGTGGTGCCATCACAAACCTTCTTTCCTAAATCACTGTCCGACATGCCAGACATATGAGCACACATTCAGAATACTTCTTATTTGTTGTTAAACAGGACACAGCATATGTGTATGTGTATGTGTGTACATACATATATGTTTTAAAGAGGCTTCATGATAAATGTAAAAACCCACAACTCCTGATTTAATGGACTCATTTTTTTAATATTAATTAACATACATTTTTTAAGATTTTTTTTGTATTTATGCATACAAGAACTGGAGTCTAGGCCAGAGGTGCCAGGGGGAGGGGGTGGTGAGAGAATTCACCAGAGACAGAGTGGGGAGCATAACAGTCAGACTGACGAAATACACTGCTGAGGGGAGCAATGGGCGAGACAGGAGAGGTCTGCTGTGCCATGTAGGTCAGCTCCCTGGCCGGGGATAGAAATGCTGCAAAGTCTGGCTATAGCCTGATAGTGCTGACTTTAACTCCTGTACCACCAAGGAGGCCCTTAATCAGCTCATTCTTAATTCAAGACACTTTAATATACACAGTGCCAGATTTTACTATGAAAGAAATTCAGGAGTAAATTAAGAAATCAGAAAATATAATTCTGTCATGGTAGAATCCTTAATTATTTAAGATTTACTGTTGTACCCTTGGGAATTATTATCAAAATTGACTTAAAGAATATTTCTGTTGAGCCTTTGAATTATTCATAGGTTATATTTCTTAATCTAGGACTATGTACAAATGAATCTAGTTCCCTGTAAAATTAATAAATTTAAATAAACTAGTAAAGGAATATCTTTTTATTTTTCTTTCTATGGCTGAGATGGGTCATTTAGTGACAATTGTCCTTCTTAATTATCATATAATTGTGAGTTATTCTATATATGTGTATTATATATATATGCATATGTGTTTGTATAGTTATCTTCTAAAAATAATTTAATTAAATGTTTTAATAATTTTAATAATTTTATTAATTTAAAGTGATAATTTAAAATAATTTTTATTCTATTGTGTAAAGTCATTTTCATTTTATAGTCCCTTATTCCTGATTATCCCAGGCATTTCCAATAGTCTTAAACCGAATGTTCCCATATTGGCATTTTCCCATATTAGTTCATTCCATAAATATTGCCATCAGGTAGATTTATGAAATACTTGCTTTCTTTTCATGTTTCGTTATGAAACAAGCAAAAGAAAATGATCAGAAAACATATGTATTGATACTTAACATGATATAATTTGACCACAGCTCCATATTTCAATGTTTCCTCTCAGAAAACTGCCTGGCTATTTTTCTGTTATTTTAAGTTATTTCATTAAGCCCCAGAATGTCCATTGTACTTTCCTCAGTTCTACTTGATCTTTGCATTAATTCAAATGTGAACTCCATGAGACTGGTGTGATTAATCTTCATTTTTCTTTCTATCCTTAGTCTGAGTAACATAAACTACGTGCTCAATACTGCTGAATAGCTCAGTAAAAGAAAGCTTCCCAGGTGTATCTTAAAATACAAAATTCAAAGAGCAACATTTTTATTTTGCTCACCTGAGTATTCCTAGATCAGTAGTTAGCATGTAGAACACTACATGTATTTGTTGAATGAATGAATTCTTAGAGACATTATTATAAACTCTAGTTGCATTTGTCTGCACTTTGTTAGGCTTTACATTGTGTCATAGCTACATCTCTGCAAGTTTTATATCCTTACTATACTCTGAGCTCCCTGAAAGTGACATGTTTGTTGTCCTCTTAGTGTCTACTATAGGGCCAGAGAGATTAGGCAATTTTTTTTTAAGTCTTGAAAGATATTAATTGAATATATAGATAAATTGCATTTTTGTAAACATTTAAAATTAGAGTGATACATAATTTAACTTTAATTTGTAAAACTTAATTATATGAGTCTATCTTTGTTTTAGGAAAACATTGAAATTCATAGGAAGGAATTGTCTGAAAAGCTTTTCACAGAATCTTGCATGTAACAAATATCACTTTAAGAATTTTCTAAACTTAATGTTCTTTATATACTATCTCCTTTAATCTGCTCATTAATGTTATCTTATAGAGACTAGTAATTGTTCTCATTTTACTGATGGTAAAATTTGCTTTAAAGAGGTTAATTACCTTAGCTAGACTCATAAAACTAGCCTAGGATAATGCCAGATTTTAAAACAGCTCTGACTGACATCAAAATCCAAGCCCTTAAACAGTGTGCATTACCAACCTTATATTTCAACATTTTCTGTGCATTTGATAAGAAACATTTATGCAAAAGGTGTTAATTAATCACCTGTAACATGTCTAATTCCATTAATCAGCGGTATGTAGCAGATATTAAGCAAACTAAGTTTCTGCCTTTATGTCTTATCTTTGAATTGGGGAGACAGAAACTAAATGAACAAATACATTTTTACTATATTAAGTGGCAAATGTAAAGCTAAGTGAGGAGATTAGGGTTTGCTTCTACTAGGGTTGGTGGTTTCTATTTTACTTAGAGAATGACCTCTTCAATAAGGTGTGAATCAAGTGAAGATGGGGCCTTACAGATATTATAGGGAAAAATTAGCCAGGCTTTAATATCAAGATTGTGGTTTATATGTGGAGTATGACAAAAAGAGAGGAGTCAATGGTGATTATAGTTTATTTGTCTTGAGTGCCTTGAAGAAATGGATTGCCATTTATGAGGAAGAGACTGTTAAGAGCAAGACTGTGGTTAGTAATCAGTAGTACAGTTGTGGACAAATTAAATTTGTTAGTAATCAGTAGTACAGTTGTGGACAAATATCCAGTTATGGACACTGGGTATAAAGTTGAATTTACCTTTAGTTCCAGGAAGTATATTTGACAAGGTTTGAAGCATCTGATTGAATTTTACAGCTTCCATTTCACAAAAGGATACTAGCTCTTTGAACCAGTGATAGATATACCATGACAGAAATAACTTTAAAA